GGGGGGGCGTGGGACCCCACCCCTCTTGCCGTCGTCCCCACCGTGGTGGTTTCAACCGTGGTGGTCTCAGCTGTGACCATCTCCACTATGGCTTGGTGTTCTCAACTCCGGTGGCCTTGGTGCTGCTGCAGCCTCCTCCCCGGGAACGCCGTGGGTGGCAGGGCAAAGGTGCCTGGGCTGGGCCGTGCCGGGTGTCCCCACGCTCCTGAATTTTGGCCCTGGTGTTGTTTGGTGTTGTTTGCAGCTGTAACGGGGTGACACGTGGCTTTGCTCTGAGCTGGAGGCAGCAGTGCTGGGGAACCTTTGTCCCCCGGGATGTTCCTTGGGGGTACTTTGCCCCCGTGCCAGCAAACTGGCACCAGCCTGACCAGGAGCCTCCTGGGAGCTGCCAAGAGCACCTGGGCAGGAGCATGGAGGGGGCAGTGGGCACAGGCAGGGCTGGGGATGCTTCACCTGACGTTCTGAGCGATGGAGAGGGTCATGAGGGGGCTGGGGTGTCCCTGCTGGGCTCATTCTGACCGAAGGTTTCCCATGGATGGTGGGTGTAAATCCATCAGGCATTGTAAGGGAAGCTGTCCTTGCATTCCCCTGTTGGCTTTGGCCCTCGGTTGGCACTTACCTGGCCCCTCAGCTCATTTCACTCCGTGAAACCTTTAGGAAAACGTGACGTGTGATCCCAAAATACCACTTGCAGCATGTCCTGGCCTTTATTCTGGGCTGGCTGCCTTCCTGGGGTCCTGCTGGGACTTGCTACAGGACTGGTGATTCAGTCCCTCTCATCCCAGCAGGTTCACCATCCCAAAGGAACCAGCACCCTGCACCTGAGAGAGCACTGTGGGTCTTGTCCTGGGGAGCTTTCTCCATTTTGGCAGGTATGGGTGATGGAGTTGAGCTGGACTGGGCATGTCCACCACCACTGGCTGGGGGTCCTGCTGGAGGGGACACCTCCCCTTGCACCAGACCTGCCTGTCCCATCCCTGGGAGCACTGGGGCTTTGCCACTGCCCGCAGTGGGACTGGCAGGGTGGGTCTCAGGGGAAGGAGAGCCCTCCCTGCCCTGTCAGCGTAGCAGAATTTCCCAAAGTAGGTCAGGTTAATTTTTTAACGCGTGCAGATTTGCTTGTTACCATGGATATTGCTCAATTATACACCAATAATCCCCCATGAGAACTTCATTGTCGCCGCTTTCCTCCCCCACTGTCTCCCCTCCTTTTTTCTTTCAGTGTTCCCAGGGAGGGCTAAGGACGCACCGAGGGGCTGGGGTGGGAGGAGAGACCATCTGGGTGCCTTGGTGCTGCGGGACCCCCCCTGACAGGGTGTAGGAGAGCAGTGGGGTGCTGTGGGGTCCCTCTCCTCCAGTGCTTGTGGAACCATGAGGTTGTTCCCCCCTCCACACTGCTCCCCCTGGTTTGCTCCGTGGGCTCCTCACGCCTCCGGCAGCGCAGGAAGTGAGCGTGGCAGGAGGCAAGAGAAACGTTCTGCTGGAAGGGGCTTGGGTTTTTTTTCCCCTAATGCTAACTTTGTCTTTTTTTTTGGGGGGGGAGGGGGTAGAAGTGGGTCACTTGAGGGGTGATAGAGTAGGAGCATCATTGCCTGGGTACTACGTCCTGTTGCCATGGTGACCTGAGGGCTGCATCAGTCAACAGCTTTAAAAATGTGACAGTTGAGTGAGGCTGAAGATTTTAATGAGGACAGACACTTGCTCCCTTGGTTCCAATAACCAAATCCTCTATAAATACCCACTGGCTGGATGGTTCCAGGTCTCTGGAGTGCGTTTGTGGGTGCTCCCTTTCCCTGGGCAGAGTCCTGCACTCCAGGGTGGCAGCATGTGCTGGGAAATAATGGTAGCAGGGAGAGGATGCAAATCAGATGGCTCTTGGTTTTTTCCATCCTCCTGTTGGCCCAGCCCAGGGGACAAGGTGACATGGTTGCAGGTTTGGGTTTCTGTGGTGTGGCCTGAGCTGCGTCACTCCTGGCCACCGCCACCACCTTGTGCCTGCAGTAGAGCAAACCCAGGGAGCAAACAGAGCTTGCTAAAGAGATTACTCTTGCACCAGGCTCTTGCAGGGGTGGGTGAGCTGTAAGCAAGCTCCCAAGCCCCAGGAGCAAGCCTGGAGAAGAGAGCAAAGTCCAGTGCTGCTGAGGCAGGGGTGGGAAGGCGTTGAAGGCTCCGCAGTGCCGCTTGCATCCACCGGTGCTCTGAGCACCCTCATTTCATCCCCACCACAAACGGGTACATGCCGTGCAGTGTCCCAGTGCTGGCCTCTGTGAAGGGCAAACCTGCAGCTTGCACTTTTTTGACTCCGTGCCAATGTCAGTCTGTCCCACGCCTCGGGGAAGGAGCCCGGCCGGGCTGCGTGGGAGCTGGGTGCTTGCTGGGACAGCTGAGAGCACGCCCAGAGCCCGCCGGGGCTGCGTCTGGAAGTGCAAAGACAAAGCCTCTTCCACTTGTTTCTGAGCAGCTCCCACGCTGCCTGTCCTTGCAGTGCCACTGCTGTGTCCAGCCAGGACCTGGCTGGAAAGCTCAGGGGCACCCAAGGGCACCCAAAGCCCCTGGGGAGGATGCCAGGGCTTCCCAGGCAGAGGGGCTGGTGCAGGACACGGTGGTGTTGCCCGCAACGGGGGCTTCTCATTTGCTGCCCCTGGTACCACCCGTGTGATGTGGGAGTCCTGCCCACTGCCAAAAATATGCTCCCAGCTGTCTTGTGACAGCAGCCGTGTCACCGTGCTGGCCAGGGGAGCTTCAGGACACCGCTCTCTGTCACATGCAGCAACACGGGAAGTACTGACACAGTGTCACTGGCCGAGGGACAAGCCACAGCACGGGGCCCTGGGCCCAGTCCAGCACCCTGAAATAGCTGGGAGCTTTTCCATCACTGGGGGTGGGTGCTGGACCTGACCCTGGAGGAATGGCAGCCTGAGCCCCGGGTCTGCCCTTCGCTGTTTTGGCTCCAGCAGCCCCTGTGATGGGTGCTGGGAGGGATGTCAGCACGGGGACAGGGGGTGACAACCCATCACACGGGTGGCTGCAACAGACAGGGTGGCACCTGCCACCACGCTGCCTGGTGCCACAGGGGTCCTGCTGTAACTGCAGCCACTCTTCTCCTTTCCAGGTGTCTCTTAAAAATGGTCAAGGAGAGTATTGTAGCCCCTGAAGAGATCTTGAGCTTCTGTTGCAATGGCCTCCAGGTACCCCCTGTGCTGTGCAGCTAACCCCGTTGTGCTGGTGGCTACTAACCAAGGCTGTGCTGGGCAGGTGCCACCGTGTGCCAGAGCTGCTCCCAGCCCTGCACCAGCTGCATCCACTCCCCACGTGTTCCCCATCACATTCCCCATCAGCACCCCCGGTCTCTGGCTGGCTCCTGCAGGATCAGGGCTATTCCCACAGGGTGCCAGCTTTTTCCTGAAAATTCAGAAATGCCGAATGCTGGGAAAATGAACAGGGGGCTCTCTGGCCAGGCTGGCTGCTCGCTTTGCAGCAGGCAGCTTAGGAGCTCTTTGCATTGCTGGCTCGTGCCCCAGAGCCTGCTGGCTTCCTGAAATAGCTCCATGGTACTTGTGTAGGCACTTTGGTACGCTGGGAAACAGCCCGGGAGGTTCACAAAGGGGTCTGGAGCCTCCTGGAGGGGCTCTGGTGGCTGAAGGTCCATGTCTGCATGGGTTGAGGGGCCCTTTCCCATAGGCTTGGCTTTCTGTGTTCTCCACCATCTCTGCTCAGCTGAGGTTTGTGCCTGGGATGTCGTGTACCAGTAGCTATGGAAACAGAGGTTAGACCCGCTGGAGAAAAATGCTATTCTGAGAGGCGGGGAGCCCGGGGTAGTTGGGAAAGCTTCATTTTCAGCATCAGCTCCTCTTTAAAAGAAGCTGGGCAAAGAAGCTGCTGCAACCAGGAGCCACGGTGGGAGCAGAAAGCGGAAGGAAGGGCTGTAACGAAGCCCAGACAGCTCCTCGTGTCTCCTCAATTACTCACGGGGCTAACTGAGTTCACCCCTTGTGTAACACGCCTCACTTGACAACTAATCAGCTATTTTTCTTGCCGGCACAGTGGCAAATACCAGCCTCCCTCTCTCATAACTTCCTCCCACAGGGGGCGGTTGAAGCAGCTCCATGCCCAGGAAACTGCCAAGCCAAGGGACACTGTGCAGAACGGCACAAACTGCCCCAAACCAAGGATGCTTTCTCCCCTCCTCTGCTTGCAGCAGCCAGGAAAAACAGCTTTCTGTTTCCTTTGGCAAAAGGGGGGGTGTTGATGAAAGGTGTGGAGCATTGCTGCCTGCCCAGCCCTGGGTGCAAGCGCTGGGAGCCCAGAGTCTCTCTTTGCTCCAGCAGCCTGAAAGTGAAGCTGTCAGGGGAGCAACATTCCTTCCCAGGGAACTGATTGACTTTGGGAAGGGGTTTTGCACTGTTCTTGGGAGGAAGCAGCAGGGCTGGGTGATACATGGCTTGGAAAGCTGCAGTGATCCCCCCATGGAGCTGCTTTTAGAGGTGGGGGGGTGTTGTTTTTTTTTCTTTTGGCTGCAGGCATCGTGTCTTTGGCAAGGACTGGGTAGGTTTTGGTGGTGCCTGGGGTCATGCAAGGCTGGGGGAGCTGTGTGGGGAGGGGGTTGTGTGGGTCACTGTTTTCTCGGGGAGGTTCCCTCCTGTTTGGTTAAAACAGAGCTCTTCTCCGCCACAGGGCTCAGGCTCTCCACCGTGTGCCCGGGAGCCAGGAGAGTGGGAGGAGACACGGGGGGCCATGGGGAGCCCCTCGCCCCCCTGCAAAAGACAAAGCCTCTTCCACTTGTTTCTGAGCAGCTCCCACGCTGCCTGTCCTTGCAGTGCCACTGCTGTGTCCAGCCAGGACCTGGCTGGAAAGCTCCGGGGCACCCAAGGGCACCCAAAGCCCCTGGGGAGGATGCCAGGGCTTCCCAGGCAGAGGGGCTGGTGCAGGACACGGTGGTGTTGCCCGCAACAGGGGCTTCTCATTTGCTGCCCCTGGTACCACCCGTGTGATGTGGGAGTCCTGCCCACTGCCAAAAATATGCTCCCAGCTGTCTTGTGACAGCAGCCGTGTCACCGTGCTGGCCAGGGGAGCTTCAGGACACCGCTCTCTGTCACATGCAGCAACACGGGAAGTACTGACACAGTGTCACTGGCCGAGGGACAAGCCACAGCACGGGGCCCTGGGCCCAGTCCAGCACCCTGAAATAGCTGGGAGCTTTTCCATCACTGGGGGTGGGTGCTGGACCTGACCCTGGAGGAATGGCAGCCTGAGCCCTGGGGCTGCCCTTCGCTGTTTTGGCTCCAGCAGCCCCTGTGATGGGTGCTGGGAGGGATGTCAGCACGGGGACAGGGGGTGACAACCCATCACACGGGTGGCTGCAACAGACAGGGTGGCACCTGCCACCACGCTGCCTGGTGCCACAGGGGTCCTGCTGTAACTGCAGCCACTCTTCTCCTTTCCAGGTGTCTCTTAAAAATGGTCAAGGAGAGTATTGTAGCCCCTGAAGAGATCTTGAGCTTCTGTTGCAATGGCCTCCAGGTACCCCCTGTGCTGTGCAGCTAACCCCGTTGTGCTGGTGGCTACTAACCAAGGCTGTGCTGGGCAGGTGCCACCGTGTGCCAGAGCTGCTCCCAGCCCTGCACCAGCTGCATCCACTCCCCACGTGTTCCCCATCACATTCCCCATCAGCACCCCCGGTCTCTGGCTGGCTCCTGCAGGATCAGGGCTATTCCCACAGGGTGCCAGCTTTTTCCTGAAAATTCAGAAATGCCGAATGCTGGGAAAATGAACAGGGGGCTCTCTGGCCAGGCTGGCTGCTCGCTTTGCAGCAGGCAGCTTAGGAGCTCTTTGCATTGCTGGCTCGTGCCCCAGAGCCTGCTGGCTTCCTGAAATAGCTCCATGGTACTTGTGTAGGCACTTTGGTACGCTGGGAAACAGCCCGGGAGGTTCACAAAGGGGTCTGGAGCCTCCTGGAGGGGCTCTGGTGGCTGAAGGTCCATGTCTGCATGGGTTGAGGGGCCCTTTCCCATAGGCTTGGCTTTCTGTGTTCTCCACCATCTCTGCTCAGCTGAGGTTTGTGCCTGGGATGTCGTGTACCAGTAGCTATGGAAACAGAGGTTAGACCCGCTGGAGAAAAATGCTATTCTGAGAGGCGGGGAGCCCGGGGTAGTTGGGAAAGCTTCATTTTCAGCATCAGCTCCTCTTTAAAAGAAGCTGGGCAAAGAAGCTGCTGCAACCAGGAGCCACGGTGGGAGCAGAAAGCGGAAGGAAGGGCTGTAACGAAGCCCAGACAGCTCCTCGTGTCTCCTCAATTACTCACGGGGCTAACTGAGTTCACCCCTTGTGTAACACGCCTCACTTGACAACTAATCAGCTATTTTTCTTGCCGGCACAGTGGCAAATACCAGCCTCCCTCTCTCATAACTTCCTCCCACAGGGGGCGGTTGAAGCAGCTCCATGCCCAGGAAACTGCCAAGCCAAGGGACACTGTGCAGAACGGCACAAACTGCCCCAAACCAAGGATGCTTTCTCCCCTCCTCTGCTTGCAGCAGCCAGGAAAAACAGCTTTCTGTTTCCTTTGGCAAAAGGGGGGGTGTTGATGAAAGGTGTGGAGCATTGCTGCCTGCCCAGCCCTGGGTGCAAGCGCTGGGAGCCCAGAGTCTCTCTTTGCTCCAGCAGCCTGAAAGTGAAGCTGTCAGGGGAGCAACATTCCTTCCCAGGGAACTGATTGACTTTGGGAAGGGGTTTTGCACTGTTCTTGGGAGGAAGCAGCAGGGCTGGGTGATACATGGCTTGGAAAGCTGCAGTGATCCCCCCATGGAGCTGCTTTTAGAGGTGGGGGGGTGTTGTTTTTTTTTCTTTTGGCTGCAGGCATCGTGTCTTTGGCAAGGACTGGGTAGGTTTTGGTGGTGCCTGGGGTCATGCAAGGCTGGGGGAGCTGTGTGGGGAGGGGGTTGTGTGGGTCACTGTTTTCTCGGGGAGGTTCCCTCCTGTTTGGTTAAAACAGAGCTCTTCTCCGCCACAGGGCTCAGGCTCTCCACCGTGTGCCCGGGAGCCAGGAGAGTGGGAGGAGACACGGGGGGCCATGGGGAGCCCCTCGCCCCCCTGCAACCCCACGGAGGTGCAGATGAGCCAGATGGTGCTGCCCTGCCACACCAACCACCGCGGCGAGCTCAGCGCCGGGCAGCTGCTCAAGTGGATCGACACGGCTGCCTGCCTCTCGGGTAAGGCATCCTCTCCCACCCGAGCCCTCAGCCCAGCGGGTCAGGAGGGAAGGGACCTTCTGGTGTCTCCAGGGGCTGGTCCAGCACCTTCCCTCAGAGCTGACGCCAGCCGGGGACCTACGTCATGCCATTTTGCTGAGTAATTAGTGAAGAGGAGCAGGGCGAGACGGGGGGAGACGTGCGCTGCAGCACACGCGGCTGCACAGGGACCACGGATGAGAATTGCCCTCTGCTTCTTCCACGACGCTGCCCTTTTCCTCGCCTGGTGCACAGGGCACAGTGTGACCTGGCTGGTGACTTCCCCACCACATCCTGGCAGTGGGGGACAGCTGAGCTCCTTTGCTCAGCAAGAAGCTCACCCTGCAGCGCACGGCTGACCTGCCGTGGGTCACCGGGCATGAGGAGAGGAAAATGGGTGCAATCTTGGGAGTTTGATGAGATTCCCAGGGTAATTTTGCAGTTTGGAGTTTCTGCAGTCCCAAAGGAAAGCTGAAATGGCAAGATGGCTGTAAAATATTTGCTGCATACAGGGAGATGGTGTCAGCTGCTTGTGCATCCCCATAGAGGCTGAAAGAACTGGGGGAATCATAGAATCATTGACTGGATTGGGTTGGAATGGACCTTAAAGTTCAGTCTAATTCCAACCCCCTACCATGGGCAGGGACACATCCCACTAGACCAGGTGGCTCCAAGCCCCATCCAACCTGGCCTTGAACACTTCCAGAGAGGCCAGGCTGGATGGGGAAGGCAGGCAGACAGCTGGGCAGTGTGCCTCCTCCTTACAACACACCCTCCAAACCCTTAAAACCATCTGCAAACACACCCTGCTGCGGGGTGGGCAAACCAGCTGCAGAGGCAGCAGGGGGGGCAGGAGCAGGGAAAGGGGCTTCATGGCTGTGGGGGTGAGGAGCACACGTGCCCCTCGCACGCTCGGCGTGTTGCTGCAGGGAGCTGATGGGGTTTGTTTTTCCCTTCCAGCCGAGAGACACGCTGGCTGCCCGTGCGTCACGGCTTCCATGGATGATATCTATTTTGAGCACACCATTAGGTAAATACTGCCCTGGCCAGTGGGGCAGGCGTGGGGAGGGAGGCTGGGATTCTCCCGTCTGCCGGGTGCAGCCTGGATGGTGAGGCTGGAGCAGGGGCAGGGAGCAGTGTGCTGGGGAGGGGAGGAGATGCAGTGGCAGTGCCAGGCTCACAGGGCAGGCAGGGGTTGAGGCTCCAGCTCTGCTGCGGGGCTGAGGAGTGACTGCTCTGATTTATCCACTGCCTGGTTGCCTGGGGAGCTCCTGCTGGTTCCCTGGTCTTTCCCTCAACTCCAGCTGCTCCCTGGCTTTGTTCAAGGAACAACTCTGACTCAGTGCTCTGGAGAACTTAAACCTTGCAAACTGTGCCTCTGTAACAGCCGGGTGGGTGGCTGCTGTGTGGTGGGGCTCATCCACCCACCCACCCCCTGGCTGCCAGGAGAAGTGGGACCTCCCTGCACGTCACTTTGTGAGATGCACCAGGCTGAGTTTTGTCTGGCAAAAATCTCCTCCCTGGGGACCTGCTGCCTGAAAGCTGGCCCAGCCAAGCAGGCTGTGCCAGATAGGATCCATGCATGCCTGCCTGTGGGTGCCCGGGGCTGAGGTAGGGGTCCCAGACTGCCACCTTGTTTGTTTGGTGCTGGGAAGTCCCGCTGGTGCTTGGGTTTCACTGTCATCCCCAGGAAATGCCCAACTCCCACTTTCTCCACCTCACATGGTGGAGCTGTCAGGTGAGTAAGGATGAGTTGCCCATCACTGTGTGCCCAAGCCACAGTGCTGGGACATGGTGCAGCCCTAGGTGACACCAGTGGAGGTGGCACCACTGGGGTTGATGCCCCGCACCAACAGGGCTCCGTGGGTGCTGTGCCTGGCACCACACAGCTCCAGCTCCTGGGAGAGCTATGCCCAAGAAGCTTTTCCTTGTGGGTTTTGGGAGTGGGAGGATGAACCAAGCCCCGCTCCAGTGCGTTAAATCAAGCCCTGCCAAGTAAGTGTTCATCCCTCCTTGGGGGTGAGCCAAGCACTGCTCCAAGGGGTTGGGGAATTTGTGCTGCTCCTGACTTGGATCCCACTTGCTGTGGGCTGGCTTAATGCTCCACACATGGGGCCTGGCAGGGTTTTCCTGTGGTTTGGAGGCAGAGGCAGCTGAGGGTGGTGTTGGCTGTCTGCTCTCCTCCTTGCCTGGCTGCTTGTGCTTTCTGCCACCCTTCCGCTGCCAGGGAGAGACCTGCTGGGGCAGGGAAAGGCTGTAGGTGATCGGGGGCCCAGAGGAGACCCCAAAACATCACTGACTTAAGAACTGATCACTGGGCATGGGGTGCTCCCCGTCCCTCAAGCCCTGCCATGGGGAAGTGCAGCCTCCTGGGAGGGCTGCACGCGGGTTCATCTGGCTTTCACAGCTTGTGCCGTTTGATAAGGAATCAGATGCTAAAGCATTTTTGGGGCTGTGACACAGACAGGGGGGGCTGCCCACAGTCCCCTGCCCTCACACAGCCCTGTCTGCAAACCCAGCCAGAGCAGCCCGGCCTTGCCCCCCCTTCCTTCACCTCTAACCCTCCCTCCATCTCGCTCTTTCTTTCCGCCCCAGCCAGACGTCCACAAACCCTCCTGGGCGGCGGGACGGGAGGAGCGGTGTCTGGTACGAGGTTTGTGGCCTCAGAGCCTCACCCAGTGCTGCCTGAGCTGGGAGCCTTCACTAACCCTTCCCGGGGTGCACGGCGCCCGTAACCCCGCTAACATCCCGGAATGCTGCAGCACAGGGCCCTGGCTGGAGGCACCATCCCAGCTCGGAGCCATCCGTGCTCCAGCCAGAGCCAACGTGCCAAGCGTGTCGAGTAGCCGAGGTGACTGTGGCCGTTCAAAGCCAGAAGTCGTGCAGAGGGACAAGGGGGAAGTTACGGTTCTGAAGGAGGTAGAAGGGAGATTTAGGTGAGGTTTTAGGAGGAAATTCAACACTGGGAAGGTGGTGAGACACTGGCACAGGAAGCCCAGAGATGCCTCATCCCTAGAAGTGTGTTCAAGGCCAGGTTGGATGGGGCTCTGAGCAACCTGGTCTAGTGGGAGGTGTCCCTGCCCATGCAGGGGTTTGGAACTAGATGAGCTCTAAGGTCCCTTCCAACCCAGACCATCCTGTGATTCTGTGAAGCACACACCTTGCTCCTGGTTGTGAGCCCTCTACAGTGCAAACCTGCAGTGCTGGTCCTAGGGTTTAATTTTCCACTGAGTTCTCCTAGCACTGATCTCTTTAAGGAACATTCCTGATTTAATAATGCGTTTGGTGAAGACTCTGCTTGCTGGTGGTGTTGCCAGGAAGCTGGATTTGCACATTAGGCTGGTACCAGTCTGGAGCAGGATCACACTGCTGAGCTGGAGCTGTTTATGTGCTTACTCTGAAGTCTACTGAAGGCTCCTGGAGTCTGCAAGGAGCAGCTTGCTGCCAGCAGAGGTTTCATGTGAGAGATGATACAAAATGCCCCTGGCTGGATCCTGCCTCCTGCTATCTCCCAGTATCCCACAGTGTCCATCACTAGGAGGCCCTGGAGAAGAAGAGGTCAAGGTGCCTGCAGTTTTGGGGCTGCTGCTGCCAGCCAAGGGCCCATGGGGAGGCCCCATGGGTGTCCCTGTTGTGCAGGATGGCACATGGAAGAGCCGTTTGCTCTGGCAGGAGTGTGCATGCCCGCGTGGCCAGGGCACCAAGCAAACCTGGGCACCTCTGTCCCCCCCAGGTGCCCTGGCAGCACCCCAGGCCTGGGGACCCATTCGCATGCAGCTGTTTAGGGGGTGACATCTCACTGCCAGGCTGGGCGCCTGCAGGCTCCCATGGTTTGGAGGTGGTTGTCCCCACGTCCTGCTGGCCCTCCTGGCATGTCCCCACTGTGCCAGGAAGCCACTACCAGAGTGGGCACCTCGATGGGGAGGTGCTGGGCAGAGGTGCATGTGCTGGAGACCCAGGTGCTGCTGTCTCCCCATAACCTCACACACCTCCTTCTCTTTCTGTTTTTCAGTGTTGGGCAAGTTGTCAACATCAAAGCCAAAGTGAACCGAGCCTTTAACTCCAGCATGGAGGTGGGTGGGTGTGTCCCCACCTTCTCCCCCCAACCCCTCTGCCTACCCCCCTCACCACATGCCTGTCCCCACCGGCCGCGCGTGTCCAATGACTGTGGCCAAATTCAGAATTCCCAAATCCTCCTGCAGTTCCCAGCTTGGAGCCCACATGTCACCCCCCTCCTGCCATGCCTGGGTGCCCAGGGAGCAAATCCCAGCTCTCAGGGGTGCTGTGCCCTCTCCCAGGTGGGCATCCAGGTGAGCTACGAGGACCTGTGCAGCGGGAAGCACTGCAGCATCTGCAAGGCGTTCGCCACCTTCGTGGCACAGGGCCCCTCTGGCACCAAGGTGAGTGGTGGCTGGTGGCTATGGGGGCTTGGTCAGCCCCTGTGCAGAGGTGGTGGGGAAATGGCCTCTCTGGGAGGAGCTGAGATGGGCTGAGCTTTCCATCATGGCATGTGCCATTCGTGGCTCTCTGCACACAACTGGGTCGGTGATCTCTTCTCCCATGTGTGTGTGATGAGGGATCACCAACCCAGCTGGGTGCATGGTGGGGTGCACAGTGGGGTGCTGAGGCTCTCAGCCCTGCTCTGAGCATGGAGGGCACCTGCCTACTGCTGCCATCCCCTCCTCTGTATCCAGGGAAGGCAGGGATATACATCCCAGCCAGCTCTGTGGGATGGCTCCTTGGCATTGGTGCCCATCCCTGCTGTAGGACACCTCCCAGGGAATCTGTGCCCAGGTGTAAGAGCCATTTCATAGAATCACAAAATGGTTTGGGTTAGAAAGAACATTAAACATCATGTAGTTCCAACCCCCCTGCCATGAGCAGGGACACCCCCTACTAGACCAGGTTGCCCCAAGCCCCATCCAACCTGGCCTTGAACACACTTCCAGGGATGAGGCAGCCACAAATGCCCTGGGCAACCTGTGGCAGTGTCTCACTACCCTCACAGTGAAGAATTTCTTCCTGATATCCAACCTAAATTCTACCCTTTTCAGTTTGAAACCACTCCCCCTCATCTAATCACTACCCTGTCACTGTCATTTCCTCTCTGGCCCCTCTGGGAGCAGCTATAATACAAGGCAGGAGCATGGCTGGCTCCAACACACGTGGTGGGACATACAGTGCTCTAGGAGCACGTGTTGGCACCCCAGGGAGACCTGTCTCCCGCAGAGGGACTGCACCTTGCCCCTGTGCCCTTTGCAGGTGAAGCTGAAGCCACTGATCCCACAGACAGAGGAGGAGAAGCTGGAGCACAGCATCGCTGCCGAGCGCCGCCGCATGCGCCTGGTCCACAAGGACACCCTCAAGGACCTCCTCACCCGCAGCCCCCGGGAAACCGGTACCGTGTCCCACAGCCTGGGCTCCCAGCCCCAGAACAGCCCCGACACCCACCAGGGACATCCTGCTTCCTTGGCAGGGAAGAGTGGTGACAGCCAGGGAGGTTTGGGAATGCCCTGGCCGTGGAGGGGTAGGGATTAGCCCCACCATCCCAGACCCCTGAGGTGGGACATGTGGGGGTCGATGTGCTGGCAAGGCAGCCATGGGGAGAGGAGGCAAGTGCTGGTGGGGTGGCTGGGAGCAGAGGTCCTGCTGACCAGCCCACTGAACCTGTTCTCCCCGTGGCAGAGCTGGAGACACGGGATGGCAGCACAGCAGTGCCGGCTGAGAAGACACGGGTGGAGAGTGTGGAGCTGGTGCTTCCCCCCCATGCCAACCATCAGGGTAACACCTTCGGGGGGCAGATCATGGCCTGGATGGAGAATGTGGCCACCATCGCAGCCAGGTGACCCAGTGGGGACATGGCAGGGAAATCTGGTGTGACTGGAGAGGACACACAGCTAGGGCAGCAGCTGGCCAAGTCAGGCCAAAATCGGGTTGTAGGGACCTTCCAAGGGATGGTCCTCAACACATCACCCTTGGGTGATGCTGTGCAGGGAGTCCTACGGGTGCGTGGTCCTGGCAGACCCCAGGGAAGGGTTCACAGTCACCACAGTTTGCTTATTGACCCATCACGTGGTTGGTTTTGGCGGTTGAAATCCAGGGGTGACATTTTTGGGTGTCCCCTCAGCTCTGGCTAGGTCAGGGAGGGTACCCAGGGCTCCCAGGGTGCCACTGCCAGGGTGTAACTCCTTCCCCCCACAGCCGGCTGTGCCATGCCCACCCCACGCTGCAGGCCATCGAGATGTTCCACTTCCGGGGACCATCTCAAGTCGGGGACCGCCTGGTGCTCAAAGCCATCGTCAACAACTCCTTCAAAAACAGGTGGGTGCCGGTGGTGAGGGGTCCCCATCCCGCCCTCCTGGCAGCCTTCTGCACCCTCACCTCTTCTTCCCTCCCCCCCAGCATGGAGGTGGGGGTCTGCGCCGAGGCGTACGGCCAGGAGATGTCAGTCAGCAGAAGGCACATCAACAGCGCCTTCATGACCTTCGCGGTGCTGGACCAGGAGGGCCGGCCCCGCACGCTGCCCATGGTGGCACCCGAGCCGGGGGTAAGGATGGGCAGGGTTGGCTTCTCCCCTTGGGAATCCCATTTAGCCCTGACAGGCTCTTGGATTCACGGCAAAACAAACGCAGACTGATGATGATGGAGATGAAATAGCAAGAGAATTAAATAGATGCTCAGCACAGCTCATCAAAAGATAAACCACTTGTCCATGCAGAGACAGGGACATAACTCGCCATGCAAAGCTTAGCAGAACGTTGCCTGCAAGTTCCAGCCCAACTTCTCTATGGTCTAGGGAAAAGAATGCCAACCTAATCCACAGTTCCCTTGGATCCAAGTACTTGAGGCAGGGAAGCAAACACCCACACAGCTCCAGGCACATCATGGCACAAGCAAGTGACAGTGTCATCTTCCCCTTGGTTGATCCTGATGTTTTTGATGCCTTAAAACTAAGACTTTTCTCCCACCCTGGGGGAGAGCATCTCACTGCCAGAGCCAGGCTCCCTGAAACTGCTTCTCTGCCTGCTTTAAAGCACCACACTATTGCTTTCTTTGAAAGGAGCTGCTTTTCTGCTCCTGGTTGTCATTCCCAGGAGGAGACGTTCCACATGCTGGAGGACCTGGTGTGTGTTTCAGGGGCTGTTCACAGCTCTGCAGCTGCAGTGAGGGGTTTTTCCTAAACTGCCAGTGCCCAGTGCTTGATCACAGCACAGTGGCAATACCAGAACAGCTCCCAGTTAACCACTAACCACCACAGCCAGCGTAGTAGTGAGCACTGGGGCTTCTCACCACTGAATCATTTGCCCACTCCCAAAAACATGAATCAGATTTTCTGCCCCCCTCCCCTTCCTATTAACCTGATGGGCTTTTCCCATTCATCAGGAGGGAGAGAGGAGGTACAGAGAAGCCAGCGCCAGGAAAAAAATTCGGCTGGACCGGTGAGTGGCAATAACAAGTGGGATGGAGGAGGGAGGAGATGGGGGCACAGCACTGGGGTACAGGGACAGTCTGTGGGTGGTTTGTGTCCCACCGTGAGGGACATTGTTCCTTTCCTGCAGAAAGTACGTTGTCTCCTGCAAACAGACCGAGATGCCGCTCTCCGTGCCCTGGGACCAAAGCAACAAGGTAGGTGCTGCCCCACGGGGGTCCTGCCTCCTGCCCCTGGCCAGGTTTATCTGAGCTACAACAGCGTCTCTGCAGGTTTATCTCAGCTACAACAACGTCTCTGCGCTGAAGACGCTGGTAGCCAAAGCCAACTGGACACTCGCCAGAGAAAAGGAGAAGGTACTAAACCCTGCCCTGTCCCCCCAAACTGCCGCCCACCCCCAGAGAGCCTGGGTGTGCCAGGGCTGGGGGTGTGGACATGTGCCCTGTGCTCCCCCAGGTGCGGATGTACACGCTGGAAGAGGACAAGTTCCTCTCCTTCCGCATCGAGATCTCGGTCTGCATCTCCGCTGACCAAGCCTTCTCCCTGCTCTCCGACCTGCGGCGCCGGCACGAGTGGGACAGTCACTACACGTGAGTGCTGCCCCAGGCACCCGGCCCTTTCCAAAAAACACACCCCTAAATCCAAAGCTCATCACTGATCACCCCTTTGGGCTTTCCTGGGACTGAGCTTGTTGCCCTAGAGCCACAGCCACTCCTAGAGACCTTCCACCCTGCGTCCTGGTGCTGGCACTGCCTGGGTTGATGGCTGTGCTTTGCTGCAGAAAACATCTATTACGGGTCCCCCGAAGTATTTTGGGTCTGGTGGCGGGTTGTAAATGTGGTTTTGGGGGCCACGGTTCTCTGACCAGTCCCCTCCCATGTCGCAGGAGTGCCGAGCTCGTGCAGCAAGTGGACGACGATGACATGATCTACCACGTGGTGAGCGAGACGCTCAGCCGTGAGAACAAGCCCCAGGACTTTGTCATCCTGGCATCCCGACGGAAGCCCTGCAGCAAGGGGTAGATGTCCCCGTTCCCATCCCCCTGCTCCCTGCTGTCCAGGCTGCACCAGCTCACCTGGCTCTCTCCTCCCCAGGGACCCCTACGTGGTGGCCTTTCGGTCGGTGACGCTGCCCACCCACCCTGCCAGCGACGCCTTCACACGGCAAGAGACGCTCTGCTCCGGCTTCTGCATCTGGCCGGAGTCAGAGGGGATGAGCAAGGTGGGTGCTGTGCTGCCCACACCCCACTGGGGAGGCTCCCCCATCCCCACCTGCCCCTGCTGACCACCCCCTGCTCCTTTCAGGTGGCTTACTACAACCAGGCTATGCCAGGGTACCTCAACTATGTCACCACGAACGTGGCAGGACTGTCCTCCAACATCTGTGCCACCTTTGAAGCCTGTGAGAAGTGAACAAGGAGGAGCTGATCATACGGCTGTAGGGCCTCCAGAGCCATGGCTCTCCTCCTGACAGATGGACAGGCAGACGAGGGGAACCTTCTTGGTGGAAGGTGACATGGGATGGTGGTGCCCAGACCCTTCATCCTTGGGGACTTTGTCCTGAGGGAGGTCCCAGGGGCTGGGGTGGAGGGCATGACAGCACCACCTCCCTCCTTGCACTGACATGTCCCATTGCTTCTTCCTGGGTTTTTTTAGAACTTTTATAAGCTGATGTACAGGACTTGGTTTTCTAATTCACTTAACCCTACTTGAATCTTTATATGATCCAAAGTCTTCCTAAGACAGATTTTATTTTTACTGTATCTTTATGGGAGGAAACTGGTTTCCTTCCAGGCAGCAAAGGGAGTGAGGGGACAGGGATGTGGGGAGGGTGCTGTACACCCCCAACCCCGGTGCAGGGGTGGCTGTCAGAGCATCCCACCCCCCTGCAGCTGCCCACTCCTGGCAAACAGCCCCTGTGACATCCCACCCCCCAGGGCTGGGGCAGGAGTGGCAACAGAAGTGCATCAAAAGGAAAAATCCCTGTATTTGGGTGAGGGGCTGCTCAGGGGGGTTCACTGTGTGGCTGCCTGGCCAGTGAGTGTGGGGCTGGGGTCCTGCACCCACAGCACACCCCGGGCATTTCCCTGGGTGAGGAGTGGGCCAGGGCTGCTTGGGGTCACCCATCCAGGGTTCAGAAGGACACAGGGGGTCCTTTGAGGCAGGACTGTGGGTTGCAGGAAGGGGGAGTGTCAGCCAGTGCTCTGAGTGGCTTTTGGGGACAGCCCAGAGGCAGTGCCACCAGGGCATGGGATGGGCAGGCACAGCAGGGGGGCTGCCCCTCCTCCCCACCTGTTGGGTGCACCCACCCAGGCTTTCCTGGGTCATAGGGCCAGAGGTTTGCTGGTGGCATGGAGGCTTCAGGAAGGCTGGCTGCCTGCTGGGAAGGGAATGTGCCCTGGGAGCCCTTGGGCAAGCAGAGCTGTGGGCACAGCAGGTTTAACAGAGCCCCGGGGGTGGCAGCTGTGACTTCCCTTGGCTGTGCTAGAAGAGCCCCCCCATGTGCTTAACCCCAACAAGGGTTTTCAGAGCTTAACCCTGAGCAAGCAGCAGTGATGTCTGGGGCAAGATGAGGCTGTGGGGCACCAGAAATGAGCACAGGATCTTCTCCAGGCACCCCAGGGGGGGTTTTAACTCTGCAGCACCCTGTCCCTACAAAGGTACTTTGCCATCCAAATTCCTCACTGAGTTTAGCAGCAGAAGGAGCTGCTGGCCCCTCTCCACAGGGGCTAGGCAGCAGCTCCCACCCCTGGAGCCAGCTGTGGCCATAAACTCCTAATCTCTGCTGTATCTCCCATCATAAACAGCTCAGGGCCAGGCCTGGCACTGCCCTGGCCTCCCCTGCCTGCACTATCACCCCCAGATAAAGCTGTCTCAAGCTGCACATAGTACAAAACACTCCGTTTTTACAGAGCCCTCGTTATCTCCCAGAACTCAGAACAATCCCACCTTTTTATCACCAGGATTTGAGCCGTCCTTTCTACTCACTGTTAGGAATTGCTGCTGCTTGATGAAGTGCAGGGAATGATGTATTTGCCTGAACATTAAACTTTAACTGACCTTTCCTGCTCCTTGAGTGTTGTGCTTCTTCCTGCTGCAGGGCCATGATCAGCCCTCACTCTGGCCTGGCTGGGTCCCTGGGGGTGCAGGGTAACAGAGCAGAAGTGGCCTGGAAACAAGGAGAAAAAATAGAATCATAGGATCACGGACTGGTTTGGGTTGGAAGGGACCTTAAAGACCACCTAGTTCCAACCCCCCTGCATGGGCAGGGACACCTCCCACCAGACCATGTTGCTCCAAGCCCCATCCAATCCAGCCTTGAATACTTCCAGGAATGGGGCAGCCACAGCTTCCCTGGGCAATCTGGGTCAGCATCTCACTACCCTCACAGGAAAGATTTTCTTCCTAATATCTCATCTAAATCTCCCCTCTTTCACTTTAAAATCACACCCCCCCCATGTCAAATCACTCCACACCCTTGTAAAAAGTTCTTACCCAGGTTTCCTGTAGCCTCTTCTGATACTAGAAAGTGCTCTAAGGTCTCTCTGGAACCTTCTCTTCTCCAGGCTCCTGTTAGGAGCAAACTGCCCTCACCAGCCTTTCCCTGAGCCCTCTGTTTGATCCCTCCCACCAAAAACCACTCTAGGCCCAATTTAGCAATCAATCACTTTTTTTTTTTTTCCCCTCAAAAAGAAGGGATTCCTGCAGGGTGTGACCCCCTGCTCTTAACAACCCTCCCAGCTGCAGCTTCTTTGCATGAAAGCACCCAGTGCTTTGCTGCTCCTGGCTGCTACTTCTTGCCTGGAGACAAACAATTTGGAAAGACAGATTTGGGACCCCTGGAGCAGCAGGGCTCCGTGCTGGCTGCCCACAGTGTCCATCACTGCCTTCCTGCATGGGGTGATGCAGGGAACAAAGCCCCACCAAAGGACCATGGCTGCTTTCCCCAGCCCCTGCCACCATGCAGTGGACAGGGCTGCCAGAGGATGGAGCAGAGAAGCCTCCCAGAAATGCCAAGATGCTTTCAGCTAAAGGCCGGGAAGATTTCTGGGGGCCAGGTGGGAGATTCAAGTAAGTGGTGCTATCATCATGAGAAGGTTTCAAGGACCCGATTTTATAGATGCCCCAATAAACACATTGGAATTGATATATAAAAACACAGCATGTATATTATCTCTTTTGCAGGGGGAGCAGGATGTAATTCGATGGCAGCTTCTCTCTCAAGGCTCTCCCTGCTGTAATTCATGCCCCAAGGTGGCTGGTGGAGGGGAGGAATAAAGGAGAAGGCAGAATTTATGGGCTGCTCCCAGAAGCTTTAATTAATTTGCAAAGCCCTGCTTGTAGTGGAGCAGGCAGCTCCCTCAAAGCCTCCTCCCCCCTGACTGCTGCCCTGGCTCTCCTGCTGTGTGCTGGGCTGGGGTCTGGGGCAGCAGGTGACCCCAGGAGCCAACCCTGCTCCTTCCACCCCCCGGGCTTTTTGGTTACAGTGTGCAGAAGCCCTTGCTGTTTTTAAACATGGGGACTTCCCCTTCACCAAAAGGCCTCTTTGATGGTCACTGCGTGGGCAGGCATGTTTGTCAGGGTTTTTCCTTTTCCCCTTTTTGTGTGTTCCTGCTGCCAGGGGTCAGCTGGGGCTTTGGCTGGACTTTGCTGGAAATCCACCCAACGGCTGGTTCCCGGGTGCTGCTGCAGTGCCCTGCCCCCAGAATGCAAGGGGCTGGAGAGAAGGGTTTGAAGCCCAGTTGGGTGCATGGTGAGGGGGCTGGGAAGGGACTGGGGTCCATCTGGCTGACATGGAGGACCCTGCCTACAGCCAGACCGTGCCGGTGGACATGGAGCCCTCCAAGGCCATCAAGCTGCTGCACCTGGGTTTCCTCTCCACCTCCTGGGGAATGCAGATCTGGATGCCCCCTGTGGCTGGTAGGTAGTGGTCTGTGCCCATGACCATGGCTCTCTGCCCCAGGGGGAGGCTCAGGGGAGGGGGCCTTGCCCCAGGACCTGCTCTCCCCTCTTGCAGGCTCTGATGAGCAGCCACCTCCCTTGCTGCCTTCGGCTCCATCCAGCAAAGCTCTTCCCCTGCTGCTTCCAGGTTGGCTCTCCTTGTGCCTTCCTCTTTGCCACGTACCACCCCAGCGAGCTGCTCAGCCACAAACCAGCCACCCAGGTACCCCCCTGCTTTAACATCTGAGCCGGCCCCAGCCCAAATCCCTTCCTCCCGCTTGGCTCTGCTCCACGGAGGCTGCTCTGCAAACCACGACAAGGTCCACACGTGGCTCTGCTTAAAGGAACCGATGAGTGCAGCCCCCCGCGTGTCTGAGAGGGGCTGGGGGGAGTTTAATTCCCCCCCCGTGTGCAAGATGCTCACGGCAGGTGTTGCTCCCCTGCTGCTCATCATCTTCTCCGCGCTGAGCACGCAGCGGTTCGGGCAGGTCACCCCCAGGAGGTGGCCCTGGGCAACCAGCAGCTGCAGCTCAGCCTCCACCACCCCCTCTCCTCCCTCTGCAGCTCGTACAACCTGGCTGCCCAGCTCTACACCCTGCGAGAGGGGCTAAGCCAGGAGCAAGGGCTCTGGGGACAGGGAACCCTCCTGCTGCCTGGCTGGGCACTGAACTTGGGAGATTGAACTTCAGCATCCTCCCCTGGAGACACTTTGAACTGCGTTTCTGCCTGCTGAGGGAATTGAAGAGTAGCAAGGTGGAAATGCAGCTCTGGAGTGAGAAAAAATCCTTCATGATCTAAGCAGAAGAGCTTGTGGCTGAGCAGCTTTTCATTGCCCCCTGCACTGGATGTGCCTGAAGCTGCCGTGTGCTCCTGCAGCCACTGAGGGACTGCAGAGGAGAGAGAAAGGAGAGATTTAGAAGCACTTTCTGTTAAGTGCTGAAAGCTGAGACAGAAGCCCAGAGATCCCAGCCACTGTAGGGGATAAGGTGGCTGTGTTTGGGTTGAGAACTACTCTGTCATTCTCTTGGAGTATTTCACAAGGTGAGGAAGAAAAAGATCATCTGCTTTATTAGCCAGAAGTCAGTCTACTTAAAATAGACGTGTTTATTCCCAGGTGATGTAAGACAATCAGCAAGGCAGCAAAAAGGGCAGTAAAACACAGTGCTGGGAACAAAGAGCTCAGCTTTACCCTGGCCAGCAGCAGAGCCAAGTGGTGGAAAACCAGCAGCTGCCTAATCCCAGGCAGGAACCCGCCGGCACCCACCCAGTGCAGCAGGCAGGGATGGCCCCAGCCCGCGGCTGTTACAGCCCAGCAAGCCCAGCCCACCTCGGAGGAGAACAGGGATTTTTCACAGGTACACAAGTACGTTCCCAGCTGCTGCTGCTTCAAACTGCAGCCGGTGTTTGGCACTGCTTCAGGCTGATTTCAGAACCACGTGCAGCCTATCGGAGAGGAGACCTTCTGCAAGCCAGCTGGGCTTCTTTTTAAACAATTAATCCCCTCTTGTAAACCCTTCACACTCTCCTGTGCTGCCTTCCTGGAAATTTCCCCGTGTGCCAAGACTATTCCTCCCCTGAAGTGAGCAGGGTATTTTTGTTCCAGCAGAAGTTTGCTGTTTG